TTAACATCGTGATGAGAAAAGTGGATGTCATTGAGAGCACATTGACCCTTGGCTGGGCAGGTGGCAGGCCTGGAAATTTCTTTAAACTCGGGAAAATGTGAAGATGCCGGACTCAGGGGAAAAAAATATCTTTGTTTTTTAGATTTGTGGGACACTGAGAAGGGTTTAGGACATGGAGAGGAAAGCTTGTCAGTGGCACAGGAATAGCTGTGAACCAGACATGGGGTGGAATAGATGCTCTTTATTCCCTTCCAGCCCAAACCATTCCGTGATTTCATTATTCTAGGGATGCCCCCAGTTCCTAATCCCACAGGAGTTCTCCACTGTGGCTGGACAGTTTGCCTCTCCCATGCCCCTGCCAGGAGATGCCTTAAATCTCTCCCACATCACACTCCAAAGGAGAAACATGAAACAATTCCTGGGTACAGACCCACAGAAAGCCCCGAGTCCATTTCCTCCAGGAAAAGTGATGAACACAGCCTTGTCCCGTGGCCATCTGTGGTGCTGGCGTGTGCTGCAAGAAGCTGGCAGGGAATCCATCACGGAGAATTCCTGCTGCTCCTCTCCTCAGAGCAATCTGGGCAGGCTGGTGTTGGGCAGGGGATGTGCAAGGTCACCAGAGCTCGGTGCCACGGTGATAGCTCATCTTTGGAGGTGCTGGCTGGGAGCACATCCAAGAGGACAGCTGGGCCTGCTGCCACCAGGGTGATGTCCCTGTGGTGGGACACGTGTCACCTGCCCAGCTGGTGGGTCCTGAGGGGTCCCTTTGCCCGTGGAGGCTGCTGTGATGGAGAGGAGTCGCTTCCCAGCACCCAAGCGTGTGAGCCTTCCTCCAGCCCACTGCTGAAAGAACAACAATAAATAAACGGAATGAAAAGTGCAATCCTGTGTTTATTTTAAAGGAACGTGTTGAAATAACAGATTCACTTTGAGGCTGCAGTTCTGGCACAAAAACCCAGCGCTCAGCAGAGCAGAGACAATCCTGTGGGTGAGCCAGAGCTGGCACTCACCCACCCGTGCCCTTGTCCATCCTCCTGGACCCCCTTGGGTATCTGGAAAACCCTGGAGAGCTCAGTTGGACACAGAGCCCAGCTGGGCTAGAGGGGGTCAAAACCTGGGGGACGTTGGGGGAGACAGAAAATGTGAGGAGTGGGAGCCTGGCGGGGCAGGAGTGGGGAGAGGAGCCCTGGGGTGAAGGGTGGGTGGGTGCAGAGGTCTCCAAAAGGAGCAGCTGGAGGGGGAAAATGAAAACACAGAACTGCAGAAGGGCGAGGAAGGAGCAGCAGGGCAGAGCAGGGGAAGAGGAATTGCTGGGGAAAGGGACGGGGTGATGGCAGAGAGCAGCTGGGAGGGCTGGGGACATGTGGAGGGGACACACAGGGGACACACAGAGCGGGGCAGGGGAAGTGGCAGCAGTGCTGACTGGAAGCCCTGAGTAAGAAACACCCGAGTGGCTCGGTGGAAGTCAGAAGTCAAGTCATCCACGGAAAAAAAAAAGAAAACTTTTGGGAAGTGCTGATGCACCGAAGAGGGGAAAAAAAAAAAGACAGCTGCCACCAGTGCCCTGCTGGTTACTGGGCAGCCCCGACCCCTGGGGGAGTTCTCAGTGGGGAAAAATCAACTTTGCTTGGGTCTGCTGCTGGTTTTTTTTTATAGCTGTGAAACACGATGGGAACGACTCTCAAATATGTGTTTACATTATAAATATATACACAAATATATGTGTACACGCATATATTTATGTGTGGGTTTGTCTGTACATGTAGATATGCCTATGCATGAATACAAATATATGTACGCGTAAGCTCGTTCCTTTATACATAGATTTGAGGAGAATAATCACACCCTCATCCAAAGCTCGACATCCCCACGCTGCTGCTGCTTGCCTTGAATTCTGTGGGAAAGGAGGGAGCAGCAAATGCTGGAGGGTGGAAGGATGGAGCTGGGGGGCAGAGGACAGGGACAGCGGGCAGGGAGGGGACGCAGCTCCTGTGTGTGCAGACACAGAATCATTCTGCTGGGAAAACAGCCCTGGGGTAACAGCAGAGCCCTTAAACCCCCATAACTGAGCACAGCCTTTAAACCCCCATAACTGAGCACA